TCTCATTAAAGTCTTAAAGCGTTTGTTAATAGAAACATTGAGAGGTTGCAGTTGACTTTTTAAACCACCGGGTATAACAGCCAGCTGTGTTTTTAGCTCATTAGCTTTTTCCTTTATTTTTTCTGTTTTATGAGCTCTAAAGGAATCCCAGACGAGGAGAGAAGGTTTTTTTTAATAAGCCTCCTGGACTTCTTAACTGTATCATATACTTGTGAAATGCACAAATTTACATCTCAAACTCATCGGGCATTCTTCAAGCAAGTTTAGTTTTAGTTCTCATAACTAGGCCTTTGAGCTTCATGAACCGATAACACCACTATGTATGACCAGTAAAATCTTCTAAACTATTATCACATGGAATCCTGTTTGCTTTAAAATTATCATATTTGTAGAAAGGGATAGTCCTTGCATTCTCTGATCCACAACCCATTCGTACAGTTTATTTTCAAGATCTTGCCATTTTGTTTTTTTCCTCGGAAACTGCGTTTATCACTTTTAATCATTTTTAATTCTTCTTCATGTTCGCACCAGCAACGAATCATTTTTTCTGTTGATGGAGGACCAAAATATCTTTCGGCAGCTTTGTTTCCATGCTCTTTTGCATAATTAATCACACTTAATTTAAATTTAGTTGTGTATGACAGTCTCTTTTCTTTAGACATCGTAAGGGGTGAAAAAATAGAACGAAAAATGAAGAAACAACTATTTTGCTCCCAAGGCCTAAGATACAGTATTTCGGCTTAAGATGAACCATCCTACTTGACAGTAAGCACGTGCCAGACTGCCAATTATCAAATGAAAATTGAAATACCGATTAGGCGATTACCGACGTTTATTGCATTAGGCACTCTGACTGGTCAAGCGCATTGCATATTTGAATCCAAGGCAAGCACTCAAAAACGATTTTTATTTGTTAGAGTTAGGCCTGAAATGGCCTTATTCTGCTCCACATTAAACAGGGATCATCGTGTATTTACAAGCTTTTTCACTCTCATCCATTACAACAATTCATTTTTTATTACTTAGGGAGCATTATAAATAGTTATGTTTTTAAAAGAAAAAAAACTACTATTGTTATAAATAACACATTAAATTGAACTAAACTATGCATCCCTATTTAGATATATTTACACATAGCTTGTGTATATCGTATACATATATATTATTCAT